AAACTCACTGAGCCCAGAATGGAGGCACTCAGGGGCTTCTAACCTTTGAATCCTCTTCTCTGCTCATCTTCCTCCCTGCAGACAAAGGCAGACCATGCAGACAATGCGGAGGTGGAGATAGCACGCTGTAGCAGGGGCCAGTACTTTGGGGAGCTGGCCTTGGTCACCAATAAGCCCCGGGCCGCCTCAGCCTACGCAGAAGGAGACGTCAAGTGTTTGGGTAAGACAACATTTTTTTTTTTAAACAACTCGTAAGCATTAGTGCCAGTCCTGCACCCTCACAATGAAAAGAGAGGTGTGGGTGTGAAGTTAAGAAAATCAATGATCAGCATCTAAAAATGGAAAGTTAGATTGCCTTACAGAATATTTTGTTTCCTTCCTTCATTATTTGTTGGTAAATAATTACATTTGATATTCAATTCTAGAGGTGAAAGGTCAAAATCTCATAACTTCAGCAACACATGTTGATTTCCCTCTGATTGAACAGTTTAAAGTAGGGCTGAATGATTAATTGCATTTCTCAATAATATATAGAAAGGTTCTCTAACAGTAAAGGCGGTGATTGTACGTACATGTGAAGGGGGATGACCTGCTAGCAAAGGAACACGGAGGGAAAGTCGGTACTCACCTGTGTGTAACCTGTTGAATAATGGCCTCAGGCGAGACAAAAACTGACACAACTGAAGGTCTTGTAGCAAACAGGAGCAGAATGTCATTTTAATGGAATTATTTTGGGTTTATTTGGGTTTATAATGCTGTGCAACGTCAGGTGTTGTGCAGGACACGTCTTGTTACAGTTGCTACTTCATGAGGTAAAACGACAAACCTTAATCAACACTTCAAAAGGAAAAAAAAAAAAACACCACAAAGCCATGTATTATAGTTGCATGGCTAGAATGCAAACTATCAGTGCCTCAGCATCAAATAAGCAAAGTAGGAGCCGACAGGGATCACTGACCAAACTGTTTGAAAGTGCTACTCCTTATGAACCTAATTCAAAACGTCACGCTGAACTAACTTGGGCAATAATGGAGTTTATAGCAAAAGACATGATGCCCGTTAGTAATGTGAACAAACCTGGGTTTACAATATTAGTAAGCACGATGGATAAGTGGTGTTCAAGTTCATATGCTTGTTTATTTTGTGTTAATTTGAGTTTGATTTACCCATAAAATTTCAACTGGTTGAAAGAAGACATTTGTTTTCTATACTTTTCCTGCCCTTTAGCACGTGTGATGCCACTGAATGCTTTAAATAAATCTAATGAGTATTATAAAAATTATTTGTTCTTATTTGTTTAGAAATGCATGATAAATTAAACTGAAAAAAAAGCATTAAATCCCAATATAAGATTAAAAAAATGGTAGATTATTTTCCAAAATCGTTCAGCCCTAGTTTAAAGCAGCAACTTGTTTTCAGCTCACATTAATCTCATCCTTCATAACCTTTTATTTTCCACATTTCTTCCTTCCCTGCCCTGAGTGGGTTCATGCGTCCTGTTCTTACACACATCCCCGTCACTCTGGTGCATCAGTTAACTGAGCTCCTGTCTGCTGCTGCTTGGCCTGTGAAGCAGATAATTCAGCTGTGCTGTCGCAATATAGTTTGTTAATCTGTTGCATCTCCCTGCCTCCTGCTGCTGTTAGAGATTAACAGAGTGTAACCCAGGAGAACATCTTCTGATTTCTATCTTAGATGTTAGACCAAAGGTAACATTGTTTAATTAAATAACAGCTTCTCCCCTGATCCAAGTTACTTCTGGACTTTGTTTGGGCTACGTTGAAAAAAATACTGTTTATAAGAAAATCAAGGAGCTACAATTGTTGGTTATATGCTCCTTAACTTCTCCAAATTAGACACTTATTCCTCTTTCCTAGACTTTTATGAAAGGTCTGAGGACAGATGGTCATAACATTAAGTTGATCTCTGTCTAAACCATTTTTATTGGTTTTCTTTCTACACTGTAGACTCTTTTGTCAACTTATATTTAGTTTTCTAGTAGAGAACATTAGATATTCTTTATGTACTGATATTTTAGAGTCTATCATGCCTCTCAAACATTTGTGGAGAAAAATGTCCAGGAAACCATGTTTGAAATGTTTGGCCCTTCATCCTGCAGTGGAAAACTCCTCATGTGGAGAAAAAACCATTCTGATGGAAATATTTGTGCCTTTTTAATAAAATCATAAAAGCTCTTATCAAAGTAGCTGTGTCCAGTTAAATGAAGCCTGTTTGCAAACAGAATCAACAGATCTAAAACAAATGGCCTCTGCTTTAAGTGGTTTTCTGACAGCAACAAAAGCTGCAAACAGAATTTAAAACAGATAGCAGAATATTAATAAGAACTAGAAGCTTTTTGGAGGCATGAAGCGCTCTGTATGTGTTGCAGTTCAGTCCTTGGGGCAACTGAAGTGAAAGTCATTTCCCTTCTCCTTCTTTCTGTGCAGTAATAGACGTGCAGGCGTTTGAGCGCCTCCTGGGCTCCTGTAAGGAGATCATGAAGAGGAACATCGCCCACTATGAGGAGCAGCTGGTGGCTCTGTTCGGCTCCAGCATGGACCTCAGAGACTGAGCCTCCCACTCCACCCTCCGTGCCTTCTTTTACAAACACACCAACACACACACACATAACATTAGGAAGTGGTTAAATGGACTTCTAAGCTTTACACATGGTGCAAAAGCATGGGAAAGCATCCTTTGTCCTCAGTTTTCAAACACTCTACCCTCTCTCCACCCCAAACACATCTGAGAGGGACACACACTCCAAAATATGTGCCCTGATCTGGAGCATATCCTAGCTGAACATATTCCCTGATGATCTGACTTAGATGCACAGATCCCGCTACAGGCCATCCAGGTCACGGCTTGAGTCAGTCTTAGCCTCTCAGAATGAATGTCTTACCTGCGGTGACCTTATGCAGGCAGGGCATTGCAAGGACATCATCCACACACACTCCAAACACCTTTAGACTCTCACCGTGATGCTTCATGCGCGCAGGCTTTCCATTCACATGAGCACCTGAACAACTCTGTTGTTCCAAGCCTCAGCCAAGGACACATCAAAAGACAGGCACATGTGGTGACAGGTACAGATGCTCAAACACACCCACACACACCATGGAGATGAAAATCTTAAAAAAAAAAATCTTTGAAATGGAAGACAAATCCAAAAATGCAAAAAAAAAAAAACAACAAAAAAAAGAAGAAAGTTTAAAGACAGATACGTTTTAGAAACATTTTATGAAAATAAAAACAGAAACTTTGATAAAATATTATTTAAATAAAAGTGTTTCCTCTTTGGGAGGCTGGGGTGCAGAACTTTGTGAGCGCACTCCGTTTTCTTCCTCTGCTGTCGTTGATTATCGAGTTGACTTAGTGCTGGTGATTGGTGCAGTACCGCGAGGAAGCAGTGAAAACAAACCTACACCTTCTGGGCCATTGTTATTCTGTCAGACGCCACACTTCATTGTATTGAATTAATTATTAATGTATTGTTATTATATATTCTTTTTTTTTTTTTGTTTGTTTTATGTTAAGTTCCGGATAAGAATTCACCATTCATCTGACAAAATGTAAAAAGAGAAAAAAAAATCCAATAAAATATATTAGTGCTTAATTCTTCTTGATTATTCTTGAATCAGTTGTCCTGGATTAAATGAAAAGCTGAAAAATAAACGTTTTGGTAACACTTGTGTGTCTTTTTGCTTTCTGCTAAAACACAAGATCTTAAGTGCTGCTTATAAAAGGAAAACAATTTCACAGAAACTTGTTGAATCTGTTTTTTTTTTTATTATTATTATTTTATTTTGTTGAAAATATCCAACTTTGGACATTTCAGCTTTATTTCCAGCTGAACGTAATCATTAGGATTCTCAAGAGGCCGAATCCAAAAGAACAAAATGGTTTTTTTAGGGATTCCATGGCTTCTCTTTCAAGTAATTGTTTACAAACTGATGAGATGGTCTAGTGTTTATAAGGTATATAAAAAAAAAGTGTGAAAATTACACTACTAAATGGTTATGAAAGTGTTTTTTGTTTTTTTTTAGTATACTTGAGGCTTGCTGAAGAAAATTCAGGTTTAGTCCGGGAACGTTCAGATTTCATTCCCACTTTGGATAACACATCTGTAACAGACAAAAGACGGACAAAATGGAGCAAAAACCAAAATTATTTAGGGACTTTTGTTCCAACATTTGATTCAATATGCTCTAAAGAAAACAATACGTTCAAACATATTTTAGCCAATATATCGGAGGAAACTTAAGATGCATATGAACAAAATGGTCAGCCATATTTGTTGACATCCCTGGTAAAGATTTGTAAAGTTCTGCACTTGCAGTTCCATGCTCTGAAATGCTCTTTACACATATAACTTTTTTTTTTTTTTAAACCTGTACATTAATCTGTTAAAGGTGTCCATCAGCAAATTGGCTGTTTGCTGTTTTGACTGTAACCATATGTGGTGCAGTGTTGTTACCCCAAACGATCCATTTGAGATGAATATAACAGGCATGTTCTGAAGCGTTTTTTACTTTAAAGTACTTTTTATTTGCGTTTTGCAGTCAGTATTTGTCCTGGCCTCCGTTCATTTTTATTATCACTTCAATGTGGTGTAGCATGGAGGCGATCAATAGCTCTGTCAAGGTTAAATGAAAACCCAGCTTGCTTTGATGGTGGATTTCAGCTTCTTTACATTGTTTCATGTCTCATCTTCCTCTTAACAATAGATCATCCCTATTTATATATATGTTTGTATATGTATATATGTGTATATAATTTGACAAACAGCTGTAATGTACTTAAACAGATTCATTAATTAAGTTTTACCAACAACATTACAAGGTCTGAACGACATGATTTAACTTTCAGTGAATTAGAACACCCCACCACTTTTTTCCATCTCCAACCAGGTGCTACAGGTGTCAGCGCTATGGACATGTTGGCAGCAGATTGTGGGGAAAAGCAAAGGTGTTCAAAATGTGGAGAAGAACTCAGAATCAATGAATGCAGTGAAGAAGCTGTATAAAGGTGCTGCAACTGTGGATCCCAGCACAGAGTTAACTATGGAGGATGTGAGGTGAGAAAGAAAGCAGCGGAAATGCAACACAATAAAACAACAGGAAATATAAGCTAAGTAGAAGCAAGAGAAGAGAGTTCAAGGACAAAAGAGGAGAAATGAATGAAGCACGGGATCAGGTACAAAAGCAAAATAAAGTAGAAAGAGAAGAAAACTTAACTCCAACAGAAAATCTGAATCATTGCCAGAGGAGATGAAGTTTTAAGGAGTCAAAGAATTTAGTTGGGAAAACGGTTAAAGGTTGGAGATGGATGGATGAACAGAGGCATCTGGAGAGTATTCAATTTTTTAATAATTCAAGATTTTTAAAAGTAAATGGATAGTGGTTTAATTAATATATGGATAGGTCAGAAAATGAAACAAAATTGATAAAAGGGAAAGCAGTAGGATTTAGTTTATAAAATTAAGAATTTAATAAGTTGAGGGAATTGTTTGTAATAGGTGGTATTTATATAAGAAATATACAGTATAATTTGATTATACTTAGGATACAACAGCAGAGTAGGTGAAAAACATTATCTAGAACGCTGTCATTTTGTTCCACAAACCACACCGGTAGGTGGCGGTAATGTATATTTAAAGTGTCCGCCAGTCGCCATTAAACCCCACAACGAACAAGAAAGCTAACCGCAGCCACTGCTAACGTTAGCTCGTCTGCAGCAGTGTTCATCATTACCCACCAACTAAATTAATAATAGTATCAATATCTACAGACTTGATAGAAATTAAGGGCAAGGCGAACTTAACATGATAAGTCACGGATACTCTGTTCGACTCTAACTATCAAAGTATTTTAACGATTTTAATGGTTATTTATTCATTGAACTGTCACCTTGTATGCTAATAATATTTGTAATTTTAACAGAATAACAACGCCCCACCTCTCGGTAGGGCATCAAAAAATTTTGATAAACTCTTGTTGTTCCTCTCCACGGAAATCTTTAGTAAAAGGCGAAAGATTTATACGATCTGAAGAGAAACTAGAGTGCATACCCTGAAATTGTCTAAGTCCCTGATCCCATTCGCCAACATACCTATTTGACTCACGGTGCGACGTAGCTAAATTACGTTGGGACGACTTGTAAGTTTCAGAAACTTATGGACTTTATTATCCTTCAATAAATTTACCGGAAACATGGTGTAAACATTCTATTAACTCGGCATAATTAGATAGAAACTGTTTAAAATATAAAGATCTGTGGACGCAATGCATGAAGGGAGTTGGGCCACGCCTCTAAAATGGTAACCCCCTTGTTTTCAGTTTTATCTGATATGCTTTACAAATTAAAACTGTTTACGCTTTAATACAACATAACATGGCGTCGAAATTTATAGTAGCCTTTAATGCTAATTGGATTTCATCCAACAACTCTGCAGCTTTTTTTAAAATTAAGAATCAAACTTCGTTTTAATTAAGATTAACACAATTTAACATAAAACTACCGTTGTTTAAAAAGAAACAAATGAAGTGTCTTTGGGTAAAATGCTTTATAACTGATGGGTGTAGAAAAGGCTGCTATAACCAGCACTTCAAATGTTAAATGTAATATTTCTGATTGATGACACGTGTGTGCTACTGTTGTATTGGGGGTGTTCCATACATTATGTTTTCCTTATTTTTCATTTCAAACAGAATCCCTACAGTTAAGTTTAACAACTACTAGTACAGTCATTTTTTTACATTTTATTTCAGTTTAATATAGGGGGAAATGTCAGAATTCTGAGAAAAAAGTAATAATTCTGAAAAAAAGTCAGAATTCTGACCTTTTCCCCCCATATTAAACTGAAATAAAATTTAAAAATCAGTTAACTTTTTAAAATTTTTGTCAGTGGCCCTAATCCTCCTCCGTGGCATTCAACTCCCAAAGTTGTAACACTGTATTGAATGGAGTCAGTCATTGTTTGCATTTAGGGAATGTCCCAGGTCATTGTGGCACCCTGTTCCCCCCTGTGTAAATGTTGAATTTATCCAGTAGTTGATCATGACTAATACACAAAACGTTTGCATCTTCAGGTGTCTAATTTAAATACATATTTTACGGTTAGAACTTGCTTGGATTTATTATTTTTTTTAAGGAGCTAGCTATTTGGAGCTTAAATCTCTATTTGTTTTTATAATGACTTCCAATGTCTGTATGTTTTACTACTACCCTTATGGAATTGAGGCGGGGTGAACTCAATCAGCTCTTCCCTCTCTGTGCCTACTTTGCCATGACACCATGTGCCGAGGTCTGCCGATCAGAACAAGAACTGCATGTTTTAATAGGATCATAATCCTGATGAACTGATTGCTCAGATGATGTTTTGAGATGGACTTTCTTGCTTAAAAATGTGTTTAAACAATTTTTCCAACTCATCAAGGCAAATAAAGGCAAGCTGCTCTCTAGCTTTTAGCTTCAGAACAGAGAGTAAATAAACAACCAAAACACTTTTAGCGATTTTGACACAGAAAACGTGTTCAGTGTGAACGCACCATTAGGCCTTGATTGTGGTGTTCTTTGCCTCATTGCCTCTGTTTAGCTCAGCCATTCGCTTTATCCAGTCTACTATTTGTTCTTGTTTAGAAATAGTATTAAGTTGGTCAGGCTCTTTTTCTAGTGTCTTTTTGTTTTCCTGATTCCCTCAAGCTCATCCTCCATTGCTACAGTCCCTTTCTTTTGTCCAATGCTTGTATTTCTAGTTGTTTTACTCATTAGAGTCACTTTCACAGTTCACTCCTTAGAGTGCTGGCTCAGGCCTGGTTGCCCAGGCTCTACCAGCCTCAACTGTCCAACTGATCCATAACCACCCTGAATTTTACCTGATACTGTTGTAGACTTATCTATAATAGAATAAAAAGTTTATATGCAAAATATAGATATACGTGATCTAAACAGACACGGGTAGCAGCTATTATTCCAGATTTTAAAATCTTCCATCCATCTCTGAATCTGTATTATGATCTAGGAAAAAAATGCCTATCTGTTTGTACTGCAGAAATGGTTGCAATAATGCTTTTAGTAGAATGGATTGGGGAGACCAGGCCATTAAAAGCAGGTGTTTGATCAGATTCCAATTCCTCATGAAACAGTCTACAATCCAATCATTCAGACAGCCATGATGATAGCTACAACAAGATTTAACAAATACTTTATTGCATTCAGATGATGAGATTTACATTTTATTTGGGTTCCTGTACATATAAGAGCTAAAGGGAAATACTATGCCTGATAAAGGAGACAAAATAATCCACGAGAGAGTGTGAATTAAATTATAGTCACATTAAGTGAACCAGAGGTGAAGAGAATTATTGAAGGGAAAATTTGAGAGAAATGGTAAAAACTGTAGGAGGATGATATCAAAGAAGGATGGTTAGATAATATAAGGGAATGTTGGATACATTAGATGTACTGGAATAAACAGAATACAGGAAATGATAATGATTAGATTACGCTTGGGCACACAGGACTTATCTCAAGATTACATAAAATGGGAAAACATGAAACAGGAAGGTGTGAATTCTGTAGGGAAAATTAGACAACACAGCATGTAATGTATACCTAGGTAATACCAGAGGCATATAAAAGAACAGGAAAATGAACAATATATTATAGGCATTTAAAAAAAAATTCTTTCATTATGAGTTATATATTTTGTTTGTTAGTTGATGTTTTTTTTTTTTTTTTTGGCTTGTTAATGCTGGTCCACGCTCCTGACTGGTTGGTGGCGGTAATGCACCAAACTGTTGCTTGCCAACAGCCATTAAAAGTCACGAAGAAGAAGATGTTCGTCCCTGATTCTGGATCAACTACAAAGGATTCTTATTGGCTGCTGTCATCGCCTCGGGCATCGACGCTGACTTCAGATCAGCTCTCTGCTGAATCGGCTCTATTTGAAAGGAGAACCACAGCCGCCAGAGTCGGACCGCGAGACTGAAAATGTAGGTAACGTTGAAGTGTGACTAAGCTGCTGATTAAGGTGAACTAGGTGTTAGCTTGCCGTTTCCCCCTTCAATTACGGGAATTAAGGCAGTTTTTAAAGCTTTAGATGATTACTTAGAACAACTAATAGCAATGCAGCTTCTATTTTTTGCTTTTACCTTACATGGAAGTGGCAGCCCTGGAGACAGGAGCAGAAAATATCTTTGATCCTGAGCTTTCTGCCTTTGCATTGCGCCGTAAACTAAAGGAAAAGTTATGTCTATCGGTTTGTTTTATGCAATGTGACGAAGTCCATCTTCCTATTTATACAGCTTTATTTATATCAGAAGTATGAGAGGGTCGTGGAGAGCTTTCATTCTAATCAAAACCGAATGTATTCAGTCCATGCAGCTTTGTTGAAATAATATGAATGTTCAAAGAGTAAAATGTACGGTTCCACTTTTTTAAGCCCCAGTATTTTTAATGCTAACAGAATTGAATGACTCCACAGCTCCACCCTGTGGCTAAACTGCATATAGCAGCCGGCGGTAACTTGTAATATTTAGTCCCTTCAGCTTCACAGATTATTGATTTCCTCACTAAAGTATCATAACAAATAAACAGTAATCAATAATCTGTACCCTTCGTTGGAGTTGAACGCACACCGACTTTACTAGCAGTTGTTAAAACCTTCCTGTTGGGATTCTATTTGAAATTAAAAATAATCAAAATATAATGTATGAGACTTTTGTACAAATGCATCACCGATTCAATAACAGTATGAGTCGCATGTTCAGGGGTACGCATTTGTGTCAGTCAAAAGCGTAAACAGTTTTAATCTGTAAAGCATGTCAGATAAAAGTGAAAACAAGGGGGCCACCATTTTAGAGGCGTGGCTAAACACGCCCAACTCCCTTCATGCATTGCGTCCACACAGATTTATTTCTTTAAAACTGTTTTTTAACTAATTAAGCCGAGTTTATAAATTTTTTTTATCTAATGTTTTCGGTAAAATGAATGACGGATACTAAAGTCCATACATTTCTGAAACTTAAAGTCGACCCCGCATAGTTTAGCTTTGTTGCACCGTGAGTCAAATAGGTATGTTGGCGAATGGGTTCAGGGACTTAGACGTTTTCAGAGTACGCACTCTTGTTTCTCTTCAGATCGTATAAATCTTTCGCCTTTTACTAAAGATTTCCGTGGAGAGGAACAATAAGAGTTTATCCAAATTTTTTGATGCCCTGCCGAGAGGTGGGGCGTTCTTATTATGTTGAAATTAATGAATTGTAAGTGACAGTTTGATAAATAAATAATCTTTAAAATTGACGCTCTTCATAATTAGAGTCGATCAAAGCATCTGTGATTTTTCACGTTAAGTTCGCCTGGCGCTTCATTTCTATTAAGTCTGTAGATATTGATACATTATTACTATTATTAATTTAGTTGGTCAATAATGATGAACACTGCTGCAGACGAGCTAACGTTAGCAGTGGCTGCGGTTAGCTTTCTTCTTCTTGTTCGTTGTGGGGTTTAATGGCGACTGGCGGACACTTTAAATGTACATTACCGCCACCTACCGGTGTGGTTTGTGAAACAAAATGACAGCGTTCTAGATAATGTATTTTACCTGCTTTGCTGTTGTATCGTAAGTATAATCAAATTATACTGTATATTTATCTTATATAAATACCACTTACTACAAACAATTTCCTCAACTTATTAGATTCTTGATTTTATAAACTAAACCCTATTGCTTTCCCTTTTATTTATCAATTTTATTTCATTTTCTGACCTATCCATATATTAATTAAACCACTATCCATTTACTTTTAAACATCTTGAATTATTAAAACATTGAATACTCTCTAGATGCCTCTGTTCATCCATCCATCTCCAACCTTTAACCATGTTTTCCCAACTAACTTCTTTGACTCCTTAAAAATTTATCTCCTCTGGAAACGATTCAGATTTTCTGTTGGAGTTAAGTTTTCTTCTCTTTCTACTTTATTTTATTTTTTGTACCTGATCCCGTATTCATTCCTGTTATGACTCCTTTTGCTGTTTTATTCTCTCCGATGACTTTTATCTCTATCATATCTTTTTCCTCTATGTGTATAACATACAACACCTCCTCATTTTTGCAAATTATCAGTAAGTTCCCATCTCAACTCCGTCACCTATTCCAGTTCTCCAATCTTCTTTTTTTATTTATCTGGAAATAATGTTTTTTTTTAATTACGCACTAAATCACTAATTGGGCCATATATTGAAGCTTTAAAGTACAATGTTCTCACCTCAAATGATCTTAAAACTTACCTTTTTAGAACAATGGAAACAGAAAAGTGAACTTTTAGTCTAATACTCTGAGCTCTGTGAGCGCTCCCCTGGAAGTTGCTGCTGCCGCAGTGCATGCTGGTACAGCTGTCAATCTGGTCTGATGCATGCTCAGGTAAAATGGAGGGACGAGAACAACACCCAGGGAATTATGTCCATTCTTGGTCTAGTGTTCTTGTGAATTGAAAAAGTGCTGCAACTGGTGACGTTTCATGAGCACACGAGAACGCACAAGTATGCATATTGAGAAACAACATCCAAATTGTGAAGAATGTCTTTTTCTGATTTCTGATGCCGTCACATTCAAGTAAATAAGTTGGAGGATAACATGCAAAGCTGTGCTTATCAAATGAGAATGAACTCATTCTTGTACGTTTTTATTGACATGTGTCTTCTGTGTCTTTTACCACACTGATAGCATTAAAGCTCTGTCCTAAGTTAAAGAGAATATTGGAAAAATATAAACCAATAGGACTTTGCTGTAAACACTATTGAGAAATGATTCAGGGATCCACCCAGCAGCTCCATCCATCTACCATGCTGCAGAACATGACTACAGACTCACGTTTTCTCCATCAGCATAGCAAAGACAGTAACAGAAATTTTGAATGGCTCTCTTAAAGTATACATATAAACACCCAGAAATAGATATTAGAAGTGTATTTCTCTCTCTGATCTCAGAGGGAACATCTGAATCACCATGGGTAAGGAACTGCTGCTGCAGCTTCTTCTTCTGTAGTATGTGCTAATTAACCAACAACCTGTTTCCTGTTACAAAGCAGAATGTGAAATAGTCCAGTGTGGTCAGACGAATTAAATACTTGTAGATCAGTCAACTGTTAGGCTTCCACTTTTCTCTCTGGGTAAGTCAATATTTTTGGGTTCTTTTTCATGTATTTTCCTTTAAATTGTGTTAATCTAACTGAGTGGAGCTGTGTTATCTCTCTACCATTAAAATCAGCTCTGATGTATGATGACTTATTGTAATTTACGGCAGCTAATACATTGATTTTTAGAGCGGATTTAATCTGAGTGAGTTTGGCGACTTCTATGTATTTTTGATGTGTTTTTTGTTTTATTAGTTTGTTTAAATACTAACATTAGTATTGATGGTCAACAAATACAGTATTGAGTAGTAATTTAAACTTCTGTGTGAAATTTTTCTGTGTTCGGTTGTCGCTTTCAGGGTATTCTATGCATTATTGCATCAGCTGTAAATAAATTCACTGTTTTTGTTTTTTCTTTAACCATGTGTTTCAGAAAGTCTCTATTTAGTTAGAGAAAAGGCTGAAATATACACCTATAAGCTAAATTTCATAAAGAACTACTACATTTTTATTCACTGCACAGAGATGAAGCTTAAATTTAACTTGAAACCAGATGGGAATTTATCTGTTTTTGACTGGTGCACATTTCCAGAGTCCTTCAGGTTGAACCACTCTTCACACAGTTTATTAGATCGCCTCATGAATCCATTTGGTTTTAACCAAAGGTGACACTTTGCTGCAGCGGGTGATATGAAATTATACAAAGATCCTACAGAAATAACAGTTTTTATGGCTGAATCAGCCACTGTCGGTGCTTGGGGTCCTGCTGTAATTACACAGCACTCTGCTCTGTGTTGTATTTACAGCATCAAATGCCTTTTCCACTTGAAAATCTCCCTAGCATGCAGTTCTGTCCATACGTCTCAGCAGAACGTTTTGTTGTCCACGATGATCAGAAAATAGAGCCTGGGTGGCATCTCAGTGAAAAGCAAGGCCAAGAATATAAACTTCTTCCTCTTTTTTTTCTTTTTTTTAAAATAAATTTTCACCATGTCACCCTATGACGACGCTGTTGTGTCATAAATTATACACAGAGAATTGTACTTTTAAGGACTGCCAATGCTCAAGCTTCCTGTGTGAATATTTTCTTGTTTTTTTCCTGTCTTTTTTTAACCTTATTTTTGATGAATGCGAATAAAATAAAATATGGCTGCTATTTAGAATTTATTCAATAGATTTTTCCCTTGATTTTTATTTTCCATTTCACACATTTTAAACTGTCCCTTTTGCCTTTTTCTGCCCTATTTCTCCAACAGAATTACATTTTTCCTTTCTTGTCATTTGATGCTGCTGCAGCCCCAAACAAACTTTGATGTTTGACTTTTTTGTGTAATTTAAATGTTTTGGATTGAAAGATCTTTTTGCCCCTTTAGAGAAAATTCAAAACATGAACAGTATTTAAAGTACTGCTAACTGATGCTGCTATAAAAAGGAATAAAAACAAAACAATTAACATATTTAAAAAGCAAAGAAACAACAAAAAATGGCATTTATTATGCTAAACAACAGAAATTATGTGAATACTTATTGTGTGCTCTAAGGCATGGGGAGTCATGGTTATTATTTTTTTTTTCTATTGGGCCATCTTGATATTATCAAGTCTTATGTCCATATGCGACTGTATAAATAAAACTTTTTTGTTTCTTTTACAAAAAAGCTCACCGCCCAGTTATTTATTAGCTTTCGTCACTTTGTGTGCTCTATAAGAACATTTAGATTTTAGATTTCTTTAAATCAAAAGAACTCAAATTCCTTCTATTGAGGTTTAAATAAGAGGTACCTTTAGATATCCAAACCATTTTGTCCTCCTGTCTCCAGCTGGTAAGGGGGTGGGGTGGGGGGGTGGGAGGCGGGGGGGGGGCTGTTAGTCTGTCCAAAAGAAAGAAGCGGATTTGAATATAAGTCTTGAGAACATCTTCCTCGTGTAAACCTGTTGGCAGAAATAGAGAAAGTAGACTCTGTGCTTTGATGTAACGTTCTTGCAGCTTCAGAGCTCAGACTGACCCAAACCCTGATCACCGCAGGTCTGAAGCTCTAACGTCCTCAAGCTGCGGCCCAGAGAGCAGAGACCCGCTGGATGGTGATCCACTCTCCTTCCCAAACTCACATAACGCTGAAAAAGTCATAGTGCTGCATGGAGATGATCAGGAGAACAAACACCCAGACGCTGAGCACCCTGGGAGAATCCACGTGGTTCCGATCCACCACCGTCTGGACCTGCTGGTTCCCTGCGCAGACCTGGTCAACTCTGAATGGCAGAGGAGCCAGGCAGCCCGGGTCCACTCCCTGCAGAAGTCCTGCTCAGAGTTCCCTGTCTGCCTGATTCTCCTGACGGGCTCCAGAGGGCCACAGGAGAGGCTCCTGGGACACGCCCGTCTTTCCCGGGTCGTGGGTCACAGCAGCAGCCTGTTTGTGGAGTCGGTAGTCGTGTCCAAACAGGAGCGGGGGAAGGGCTACGGCCGGATTCTGATGGAGGAGACTGAGCTCTACGCTAAACGCAGAGGCTTCAAGCGTCTCTGCCTGACGACTCAAGACAAGCAGCACTTCTACGCCCACCTTGGCTATGTCCTCTCCACGCCGGTGCAGAGCGCTGGGGCTGTGATGGCGCTCCTTCCTGAGGGGATGCTGCAGAGACTTTCCAGAGCGGCAAACAAGGAGACAAACCCTGGAGGACAAACTCTGACAAAAATTGAAGACTCAGAAGGTGCTCCTGTTTTAGGGTCACCTCCACCTTCTAGTTTACAACTCCCTCCATGCCCTCCTCCCCCACCTCCTCCTCCTCCCCTTCTGTCTGCAGGACGGCCTTTAGTTCAGACTTTAACAGAAACTCCCTACAGAGACGCCAGAGGAGCTCCCATCTTCTGGATGCACAAGGACATTTGATGAGCAGCCATTCCTGGACTCAGATGAACAAGATGAGAGAGACGTGTTCCTGTCAGGCACACAGGGAGAGCCGAGCCTGTTTTAGGAAAACAAAGCACCTCTCACACACTGCTGACTTTATAGATCTAAAACAACTGAACGGACAAAACTCCAATAAAGAGATGGAAAAACTGAAAGTTTCTGCTTTTATTCCAGTGGACAGATTTGTCCTGCAGGCCCCTGTTCTTCCCAAGGAAGTTGTGTTCTTATCAAGTACATCTGCAAAATGGCAGTAATATTATGCACCTGTATTTATTAAATATATGAATATAAGCAACATTTTTATGAATATCTGAAAGAGGTGATTTCACTTTCACAATTTAAGAACACCCCACCTCTTGACTTGGCATCTAACAATTGTGATAAAATCCCTAACTTTAGTAAAAGATTTATACAATCTGAAGAAATCCAAGAGCGTATAGTGTAGGGTGCAATGTAGCTAAACTATGCAGGGGCAATTTTAAGTTCAGAAATGTATGGCAGAAGCAGAGAAGAGAGTTCAAGAACAAAAGACAGGAGAAATGAATCAAGCAAGGGATCTGGTACAAAAGCCAAATAAAGTAGAAAGAGAGAACTTGACTCCAACAGCAGAGAAACTAATTTTATTCATAGCATAGGTTATTAACTATACAGACCAAGCATAGAGAAAATCAGAATCATGGTCAGAGGAGAAGAAAAGTTTTAGGGAGTCAAAGAAGTTAGATGGGAAAAAATAGTTTAAAGTTGGAGATGGATGGATGAACAGAGGCATCTGGATATTATTCAAGGTGTTATACAAAATAATTCAAGATGTTTAATAGTAAATGGATTATGGATTAATTAATATATGGATAGGTTAGAAAATTAAATATCATTGATAAATAAAAGGGGCAATTGCAGGATTTTATTAAATAAAAAAATAAACATCAGAGTTTAGGAAATTGTTCATAAAAAGTAGTATTTAAATCAGATAGATATGTAATTTGATTATATATAGGATATAAAAGTAAAGCAGGTAAAATACATTAGCTGGAAAACTGGCATTTTGTTCCACAAACCACACCGGTAGGTGGTGGTAGTGTGCACTTAAGCTGTTTGCCAGTCGCCATTGAATCCCGCAACGAAGAACAAGGCTAACCGCAGCCAGGGCTAACGTTAGCTGGTCCGCAGCAGCCCTCTCTCGGCACAGCCTTGGTTGAATAACGATATGCTGATGAAGGTTCTCAACAATTTTTTGAATTTATTCAACCAATTTTTACGGAAATTGGTTGAATAACCGTTGGATTCAATGCTTTCTTTCATTTAGTACTATATTTGGCCAAACGTTCATTTTATTTGTGTTTATTTGAATGTATTCGTCATTATTTCCCAACTAATGTAAAAATTGTAATCTTGTATCTACAAACTATTAATAATAGAAATGCATGTCCATACGAGCATTTCATTGTATGTGAATTCACGAGTACACGGGTCGGTCTGTTTGATTCTTTTAAGTTCGTTTGATTTCTAACAGAAGAAGAACGCCCCACCTCGCGGTAGGGCATCAAAAAAGTGGGATAAACTCTTGTTGTTCCTCTCCACGGAAATCTTTAGTAAAAGGCGAAAGATTTATAGGATATGAAGAGAAACAAGAGTGCATACCCTGGGAAAAGTCTAAGTCCCTGATGCCGTTCGCCATCATACCTATTTGACACACGGTGCGACGTAGCTAAACTGCAGGGATGCCTTTAAGTTTCAGAAATGTATGGACTTAATTATCCTTCGTTAAATTTACATAAAACATCAGGGGGGAAAAACTGACAAACTTGGCATGATTAGTTAAAAAACTGTCTTAAAGAAATCAATCTGTGGACGCACAGATTTATAAGGAGTCGTAGCAGAATTTAGTTTATTAAACTACGTATTAAAAGTTTAGGGAACTGTTTGTATTAAATAGTATTTACATCAGATAAAGATATAGTATAATTTGATAATATATATAGTATATAACGCTAAAGTGGGTTAAATACATTAGCTACATTTTCATTTTGTTCCACAAACCAAACCGGTAGGTGGCGGTGATGAGCACTGAAGTGGTTGCCAAACGCCATTAAACCCCACAACGAAGAAGGCTAACCCCCAGCCAGGGCTAACGTTAGCTGGTCTGCAGAAGTGGTCATCATTATTTACCAACTAAATTAAAAATAGTAATAATGTATCAATATCTACAAACTATTAATGGAAATGTAAGTCCATACGAGCTTTGCATGTGAACCGACTGGTCCGGATACACGCTTCTTAATGTTAACTGCTCCCAAATACTAGTTGAATCATATGTACTAGTGACCTAACATATCAGATTTTCTTATACAGCATAAGAACGCCCCACCTTTCGGTAGGACATCAAAAAATTGGGATAAACTCTTGTTGTTCCTCTCCACGGAAATCTTTAGTAAAAGGCGAAAGATTTATACGATCTGAAGAGAAACAAGAGTGCATACCCTGAGAAAAGTCTAAGTCCCTGATGCCGTTCGCCATCATACCTATTTGACACACGGTGCGACGTAGCTAAACTGCAGGGATGCCTTTAAGTTTCAGAAATGTATGGACTTAATTATCCTTCGTTAAATTTACATAAAACATCAGGGGGGAAAAACTGACAAACTTGGCATGATTAGTTAAAAAACTGTCTTAAAGAAATCAATCTGTGGACGCACAGATTTATAAGGAGTCGTAGCAGAATTTAGTTTATTAAACTACGTATTAAAAGTTTAGGGAACTGTTTGTATTAAATAGTATTTACATCAGATAAAGATATAGTATAATTTGATAATATATATAGTATATAACGCTAAAGTGGGTTAAATACATTAGCTACATTTTCATTTTGTTCCACAAACCAAACCGGTAGGTGGCGGTGATGAGCACTGAAGTGGTTGCCAAACGCCATTAAACCCCACAACGAAGAAGGCTAACCCCCAGCCAGGGCTAACGTTAGCTGGTCTGCAGAAGTGGTCATCATTATTTACCAACTAAATTAAAAATAGTAATAATGTATCAATATCTACAAACTATTAATGGAAATGTAAGTCCATACGAGCTTTGCATGTGAACCGACTGGTCCGGATACACGCTTCTTAATGTTAACTGCTCCCAAATACTAGTTGAATCATATGTACTAGTGACCTAACATATTAGATTTTCTTATACAGCATAAGAACGCCCCACCTTTCGATAGGACATCAAAAAATTGGGATAAACTCTTGTTGTTCCTCTCCACGGAAATCTTTAGTAAAAGGCGAAAGATTTATACGATCTGAAGAGAAACAAGAGTGCATACCCTGAGAAAAGTCTAAGTCCCTGATGCCGTTCGCCATCATACCTATTTGACACACGGTGCGACGTAGCTAAACTGCAGGGATGCCTTTAAGTTTCAGAAATGTATGGACTTAATTATCCTTCGTTAAATTTACATAAAACATCAGGGGGGAAAAACTGACAAACTTGGCATGATTAGTTAAAAAACTGTCTTAAAGAAATCAATCTGTGGACGCACAGATTTATAAGGAGTCGTAGCAGAATTTAGTTTATTAAACTACGTATTAAAAGTTTAGGGAACTGTTTGTATTAAATAGTATTTACATCAGATAAAGATATAGTATAATTTGATAATATATATAGTATATAACGCTAAAGTGGGTTAAATACATTAGCTACATTTTCATTTTGTTCCACAAACCAAACCGGTAGGTGGCGGTGATGAGCACTGAAGTGGTTGCCAAACGCCATTAAACCCCACAACGAAGAAGGCTAACCCCCAGCCAGGGCTAACGTTAGCTGGTCTGCAGAAGTGGTCATCATTATTTACCAACTAAATTAAAAATAGTAATAATGTATCAATATCTACAAACTATTAATGGAAATGTAAGTCCATACGAGCTTTGCATGTGAACCGACTGGTCCGGATACACGCTTCTTAATGTTAACTGCTCCCAAATACTAGTTGAATCATATGTACTAGTGACCTAACATATTAGATTTTCTTATACAGCATAAGAACGCCCCACCTTTCGATAGGACATCAAAAAATTGGGATAAACTCTTGTTGTTCCTCTCCACGGAAATCTTTAGTAAAAGGCGAAAGATTTATACGATCTGAAGAGATACAAGAGTGCATACCCTGAAATTGTCTAAGTCCCACAAGCCATTCACCATCATATCTAGTTGACTCACGGTGCAACGTAAATACTCTATGCGGGGACCACTTTAAGTTTCAGAAATGTATAGACTTTATCATCATTCAATAAATTTACTGGAAACATTGGGTAAATATTGTGTAACTTCGGCACAATTAGTTAAAAACTGTTTAAAAAATAAAAACCAGTGGACGCAATGCATGATGGGAGTTGGGCGTCGTTAGCCACGCCTCTAAAATTGTAGCCCCCTTGTTTTCAGTTTTATCTGATATGCTTTACAAATTAAAACTGTTTGCGCTTTTATACAACATAAAATGGCAGCTAGATTTATAGTTTTTCTTTAAAAATGTGTATAAGACCATTAAATAAATGTGTCCTTCATTACTGCTGCAGGATTTCATTCTTATATTTCAGTGTAAATTGAATTGGAAGACGCACCTTTTTTTCTTTTTAAAGAAATAAAGATTTTATTCCAAATCGTATCCAAGCTGTCAGTATATCCCCTCCTTTTTTCCCCTTTAGGATCATTCCCAGGGTTCTTCTACTGTCCTTCTCATTCCACAGGTTTTTCATTTCATTCAGGAAGATGATGTGTTGATTTGAAAACAGAAACATAAGCATAACCACAGCATCATGGGTCCCTCGCCATACTTATAGTAGTTATGACCTGGATTTTTCTGTCACCCCAAAAAAAGCTCAAACCTATTTTGCTCTAACCAAAGCACAGAGCTGGTTTACCTTCCACACAACCACTTGGCTTATACTCAGCATTCATTATGCCTGCCTCTTTATTGCCTTCCCATCCAGGTGAATGTGTTAATGGCTAAATAAAGGTGTGCCTATCTGACTTTGTGCTCAGCACCTAACAATAAATAAATATCCAGATATCCAGATTAGTGTTGTAATCTATGGAAACATAAGGTGATCCAATTAAATCTTAACATAAGTTTTATTTACTCATTACATCAGCTCATAATAAAGGCTTGGTTTTTCTGTAATTTGTAGTGTAATGTACTGTCATTAAAGAAGAATTCCTTTGAAGTATTTTATTTCAGTAGTGTCAAAGTGCTAAGAGCTATAATGATACATAGTTAAACATCTGAGTGTGTAATGTGGCCGTACTGGAGCCCAATAACATGTTTCTATCAGCGGTATAAACAATGGCATCCTTTTCACTTTGATGACTCTGCTAGTGTTGTTGTCTATGCTAATATATTATTAACATTTGTTTTTCTCTTCTTCCTTTGACTTATAATCAAGTGATTATATGGGGACAATAAAAAGAATCTAATGTAATTTTTGGACTTATGCATTTTTCTAGCTGACTTCTTATATGAGTTGTGGGTCTATTTAGGAAGCAACCAACAGTAAAAAAAAAATGCTTTTTAAGGCTTTTTTTATGTTTTCAAAGTACAGCTACTCTTATCCGTGACTGTCAAAAGTACAGCAAATGGTAAATGCTTGGTAAATGGGTTTTTGGTAGGAAGTGGGTTTCGAGAGAAATCCACAGAATCATTAATGCATTAATTCTTCTACAGATATAAACAATTGTGGTATAATTCTGTGGATTATTTAGACAGGATCTGAGTTTTACAAAATACACCCTTGGACTCATCTCTGTATATCTGTAAGAAAGTCCTAAGATCCCCTGTTGTTGTGGAGCTGCATGATGTGCAGCTGATGTTCTGCTCAGCATGGCAGTCTGTGGCTTTTATAGGTGCTTTGCTCTAAAAAGCCATAAAACCACCTCTGCCCCTGTGGGTATACTTCAGCCTTATTAGAGTGTGAAACAAAATAAAATACTCTAATAAAGTTTGAACACTTTGATAAAAGTTCTAGTCAAAACTATTTTGGAAACTAAGTAGCTAAGACTGACTAAGGGTGAATAGAATGTTAGGTGGACTTTTTATTTGCAAATAAAAGAAGGTAATTTATCTGAGGTTGTTCTGTGTCTCTGGTTAGGAAGGACACACCCTTTGATGAGAAGCCATGGAGCTGCCTCACCTTCCTCTCCTCATCCTCCTCATCACTCCCTGCTCCTCCCTGTCAGAGAACCTCCCCCTTCCTGCTGTGCCTGCTGCAGGTCCACTCCACTGGGAACAGCCCTTCATCGTAGTGTGGAACATGCCCACAGCAAACTGTCACAAACGCCACAACGTCCAGCTGGACCTGAAGGAATTTGGGATTGTGGAGAACAACAGGCAGCGCTTCCAAGGAGAGGTGATGAAGGGATTTAGATGGGCTGTTTTTAAATTGTGCGGCTCACTTGTTTGAAAAAAAAAAGAAGTCATAAATCTGATGTGTGGCTTTGGTTCCTGATTTTTTTTTTCTTTGAAAAAAAATCCTCATCAGAACTACATAGTGTGCAGAATTATTAGGCAAGTTGTATTTTTGAGGATTACTTTTATTATTGGGCCACAATATAGTTCTCAATCAACCCAAAAGACTCCTTAATATCAAAGTTTCTTATTTTTTTAGAAGTTGATGTGTTTTTTTTTTTAGATTTAGGATGTCTGTGTGTGCAGGTAAATATTACTGTGCAGAATTATTAGGCAACGTAATAAAAAACAAATATATACCCATCTCACTTGTTTATTTTCACCAGGTAAACCAATATAACAACTCAAAATTCAGAAATAAATATTTGCAACATTCCAAAAACCAAAAGAAATCAGTGACTGATATAGCCACCTTTCTTCACCATGACGCTCAAAAGCCTTCCATCCATAGATTCTGTCAGTGTTTTGATCTGTTTGCGATCCACATTGCATGCAGCAGCCACCACAGCCTCCCAGACACTGTTCACAGAGGTGGACTGTTTCCCCTCCCTGTAGATCTCACATTTCATGAAGGACCACAGGTTCTCCATGAGGTTCAGATCAGGTGAACAAGGGGGCCGTGTCATTATTTTTTCTCCTTTTAGACTTTGCCTGGCCAGCCACACTGTGGTGTATTTTGATGCATGTGACGGAGCATTGTCCTGCATGAATATCATGTTGTTCTTCAATGATGGCGACTTCTTCTTGTACCACTGTTTGAAGAAGGTGTCTTCCAGAAACTGGCAGTAGGTCTGGGAGTTGATGTTGAGTCCATCATCAACCTGAAAAGGTTCCACAAGCTCATCTTTGATGATAGCAGCCCATACCAGTACCCCACCCCCACCTTGCTGGGATCTGAGTCGATAAGGAACTTGCTGCCCTTTACTGATCCAGCCTGGTGTCCATCCATCCATCTGGCCCATCAAGACTCACTCTCATTTCATCAGACCAAAACACCTTGGAGAAATCAGTCTTTAGATATTTCTTGGCCCAGTCTTGATGTTTTGTCTTGTTGAAAGGTACGTTAGCCTTTTTCCAGCTTTCCTTACCTTGGCCAGGTCCCTGAGTATTGAGCACCTTGTGCTTCTCAGCACTCCAGACATGTTGCAGCTCTGAAATATGGCATAACAGGTGGCTAATGGTTTCCTGGCAGCTTCATGCTTTATTCTTCTCAATTCATGGGGAGCTATTTTGCTTTTTCTTTTTTCAACATGCTTCTTGCACCCCTGTTGGCTATTTGCCATGAACCGCTTGATTGTACGATGATCCCGCTTCAAAAGCTTGGCAATTTCCAAACTGCTGCAGCCCTCTGAAAGACATCTGACAATGTTTGACTTTTCAGAGTCTGTCAAATCTCTTTTCTGACCCATTTTGCCAAAGAAAAGGAAGTTGCCTAATAATTAAGAAATATAGGGTGTTGATGTCATTAGGCCACACTCCTTCTCATTACAGAGATGCACACCACCTGATTTACTTAACTGGTAGTTGGCTTTCAAGCCTATAATGCTTGGAGTAGGACAACATGTATGAAAAGGATGATGTGTTCGAAATACTTATTTGCCTTATAATTCTTCACACAGTGTAGAGAGTTGGTGCCATTAAGCAAACTGTAATGGAAGGAAGGATCAGCAACTTTTACTGTTTTACTTTTTTCCAGAAAATGAGCATCTTCTATCGGGACCATCTGGGGAAGTATCCGTACCTCTCCAACGATGGCCGAGAGGTGAACGGAGGAATCCCTCAGCTTGGTGATCTGGCCTCTCACCTTTCCCTCACAGCTCTGAAGCTGGACGTCCTGCTGCGTCCCAGCTTCTCTGGTCTGGGGGTCATCGACTGGGAGGAGTGGCAGCCATTGTGGGAGAGCAACTTTGGATCGAGGATAAAGTACCGCAGGCTCTCCAAGCAGCTGGTGAGACAAGATAGACTGGATCTGTCTGAGGAAAACGTGACACGGATGGCTCGGCAGGAGTTTGAGAAGAGTGCTCTGGCTTTTATGGAGGAGACGCTGAGGCTGGCGACCAGGAGCAGGCCCAAGGGATTCTGGGGCTTTTATGGTTTCCCCTCCTGCTTGAATAAACACAAGAGGAAGACAGGTAGAGCCAACAAAATCTGGATTGTTATCCAATGTCTGTGATTTATGGGCGTACTGAACTTAGATTAAGAGAATACCATAAATTGTTCATATAAAAATGGGTTGTATGAAGGTGGAAACTAGGCATGTGATAAAAAAATCGATTTTGTGATAAATAGTGATTTTCGTCATTTCATTTTGATAGCTGGGTAAAATATCACACTATATTGGCATATTGTAATAATAACGTATTGTGACCAGAGTATCGAGACTTATATCGTATCGCAAAACACACGCCAATACTCAATCCCTAGTGGAAACAGTCCTGCATTAAAATATTCAAACTCCTGAAGTTTTTCAAAATTTGTCTCTAAAAAACAAACTTCAGCGTTTGGGTTTAAAATAGCGCAAGCAGAGAAATAGTTTGAAAAATCTAAATTTTAAGCGAAGAGTTATTGGAGGACAAGGCAAAACCTTATTACCTTTTGTAATATTTAAAAAAATATGTATATTTTGATGTAAAAAAAAAAAGTTGAAAACACTGAAAAACACTCGCAGAGTGAAACATTTTTTTTTCTTCTTAAAACATAACCTTATGTTATGTTACTAATGAGTTACTAATGATGAAACAGAGACTTCTTTTTTGTACCTGTTTAACTTTACTTTACTTATTAACATATATAATCTAAGGGCTCATATTATTGGTCAATCAATCACTGCCATGTAGTCGTATCTTTGCTGCATGGCTGGATATGAACTTGTGCTTCTAGACCTCAGTGAAAGATGGAGGGGACTTTATTTGTAAGGGTTGTAAGTTAACTTAATATGCATCCATCTTGTCTGATTCTTCTCTGCTCTTCTAATGGACTTTATTGTAGCTAATTTTCGATACAGCATATATTTGTGATTCTCCTGGCAGATTCTCTGCATTGCCAGTTTATACAACATGACGAATGACAACATTACAATCTCAATTACATATGTAAGGTTTGAAATATTATTTTCCAGCCTAAATCTACTTTAAACTTCTGCCCACGTTTATCACAGCGTAGTCATTTACAACATATGGGATGTGTTTAGGTGATTTATTTATCATTATGAGTAGTGGGGAAAAATTGGGTTAATTAAAGAATACAGCCAGTTTTTTTCCCAGATTTCAATTATTCTATTATTTTTCCTCTGCTTTGTGTGGTTCTAAATAAAATCCCATTAAAAATTTTGCTTTTTCTAATAATACAAAATGTTAAAAAGTGTGAAGGATTACATTTAGAAGACCCTGTAAATGATATGTAAATATATAATTCTGTAATTCAACTCAATAATTCGAGTCTAGTACAGCTGATTGAACTGACATGAATGTGCTTTGTTTGTTATGTGAGAGCAGATCAAAGCTACACAGGACGCTGCCACAAGGGAACCAAGCAGAGGAATGACCGGCTGTCCTGGCTGTGGGCTCAGTCCACAGCTCTCTATCCCAGCATTTATCTGCCGCAGAGGTTGGCAGGGTCCATAAATGCAGCTCTGATGGTCAGGTATAAACAAGCACATTTATTCCCAGTTTTACCACATTTTTTTTTTTAAAGCTAAAGGTGCAAACTGAAGTTTTTTTCTGCACTCAGACACAGACTGCAGGAGGCTTTGAGAGTGGCTTCATTGTGGCGTCATGAGAACAATAATAATCAGGCCACACCTGTCCTTCCGTACACCCGGCTGGCATTCACACATTCTCTCAACTTTCTCAACAAGGTAGCTTTGAGTCATTAAAGGCAACAGATGGTGAAGTTCAGTTTGCAGGTATAACAGACAGTCTGTGCTTGCAGACGGATTTGGAGCACACGCTTGGAGAGAGCGCCTCACTTGGCACTGCTGGGGTCGTGCTGTGGGGAGATATAAAATTCGCCAAATCTAAAGTATGAGAATAACTAAATCATCATGCCTGAGCGTTTTGGAGTTTTCATACAACCTTGTTCTCTTCTCTTATCTATCAGGAGCAGTGCATCCTTCTCAGACACTACATCCACAGTGTCTTGGGCCCCTTTATACACTCCCTGAGGGCCGACACGCTCCGCTGCAGCCTCCAACTCTGCCACAGTCATGGCCGCTGTGCCAGGCTAAACCCCAACAGTAGTCACAGGCTTTCATCAGCATCCACCTCTGACCCTCATGATGATGCTGACTCCACCAGCAGGAAATACTACCAGCAGCACTTCATGTGTCAATGCTACTCAGGCTGGACTGGGCCCCAGTGTCAGAAGAGTGGACAGAACGAGGGTTGATGATGGCTCCTCGTTTAGGGGCGCGGTCAATAAATTGCATAGAAAAGTTATAAAAAATGTAAACTATTTAAAAATATTTAAAATATATGCTTGGGTTCGGTTTTTGAATGCCTGTCTCTGTTTGTTGGTGTCAGCTAACATCCTTATATTAGCATGTTAGCGAAATATAGCATTTTAATGAAGGATTTGCTGCCTTTATTTTAGCAAATAGTGATTTTTTTTCCTACCTTTAAAAAATAAGGAAGACTATCCTGTTAATTTAAAGTAATGAAAGAAGATGGCCATGTTAGTATTTTAGCTCTTTTTGCATTTCCTCTAATGATGCTACAAAAGCTGCTGTTAGCATAGTAGATAGTTTTAGCTAACATGTAATAGTTTGTTTTTAATACTAGATTATGATATATTCTAAGCATAATACCTAAACATGTTTTAGGGTTTGCTACCCCCAAAAAAATACTTGGAAAACTTTGTTCCACATTCTCTTCATTAGAATATAAAAAATATGATCTGCTGTAGCTCAGTTGTTACAAATATATGTTCCAGATTTCCTAAAAACTTTAAACACAAAGCAAATATATTTTGGGATACTACAATTACACCATCTAACATTAAAGCAACGTTTCAATTGTTAAATTTTAAATCATGAAAAGTAATTGGATATATTTCTTTGGGTTGTCATTTCTGAATTATTGACATTTCAGTTTTTGAATTGTTTGAGTTTTTAGTTTTATTGTTTATTTTCAATGTATGATGCTCCTTTTGAGGTAGAAATTGCAGCAGTCAGAAAAGATTTTTCCATAAAGGGAGGACATGACTTAGCCTTATTATGCTATTAAACACCTCACAGCTTTTAATCTGGCTAAAAGAAAACTATCAATTAAAAAAGAGAAGAAGTCCGTTAAAATCAAACGTATTCATGAATCACATAATAGAATTTTTGGCTCTATGAACAATATTTTTTCCCTGTTATTTTGATAAGGAAGTGTTTTAGATATTTATAAAAACTCAGGGGTGGCAACCACTCTAATATCTGAAAGATCACATTCCCTTTTATGAAAGAAAAATTTTGGTTTTTGTCAATTATGCTATTTTATTATACAACAAAAGACAAAGAATTACATTTTTAACTCAAAACAAAGACTGTGTTTAGAGATAAAAGATCAAAGCCTACATGGAATTAAGTTTTATGTTTCACATTTTCAAATGATTCCCTGTCCTCTGTTAAACGAGCCCAGTCCACGTCTTCCTCATGTCCCTCGTCTCACGACTGTCATGTTTCGTCTCAGTTCCTGCAGCTCCTGGATCAGCAGTGCCAGCTCGTTGGCTGCAGCCTCCTTTTCCCTCACAGCTTCAGTCAGCATCCTGATTGCGCTGCCCTGCTGAACTATAAGAGACATAGATGAAAATATTATGATCATTTTAATTATTTTACTGTCAGACATCAAATCAAACTAAAGTTTCTCTCTTTTGCTCTCATAAAGGATCATCAACTATTTATATTTTCCAAAGGCCAAAAAAGCTTCAGATAATATTAAATTGTTTTATCCTTTCTTTGATTTACTTTAAAATCAAAAGTTTACAAATACTTCTTTGGTATTTAGTAGAAACCTGGGTCAAATGTCTTTCTTATTCTTCCACAAGCATCATAGTTTGCTATGATTTTGGCTGATTAATTCTGTTATTTCTTAAGTAACTGAGTCAGGTTTGGAGTTTATAGATTAACAAACATACTTTATCAGTTCTGCCTATTTTTGTATTGGGTAACTGGGGCTCTGTGATGTCTAGTCCAACATTTTTAACATTTTATCTGCAGGTCACAAACTCATTTGGCAACCAAATTGTCGATCAAGAGCCATTTGTGTCCAATCTGTAACTTCCTTGCTTATGTGTTGAAATGTTGCTTCAATATGTCCAAATAGGGTTCTTGTCTTATCAAGTTGGCTTTATTTGTGAAATTGACTAATTTTCCTTGCAGCAAAACACCTAAAAGCGGAATCATCATGCCTCAGGCCTGCACGCTTCCCCTTCTTTCTTTTAAATTTGAAATAAGTCTTGATGGCAAAATACTTCAGATATAGTTTCACCAGAACACAGGAAGTACCTCTGATATTTTGCCACTTCTGGGGAGATGATTTCTTTCTCTCTGATTGGCCTTTCAGCTCATGTCAGTATAGAACTCATTACACAGAGTATGAGACTCTTTTACCGACATCTCCCGGGACTTTACACAGCATTTTGCTTTTCTTTTAGGGTTGATCTCTGAGACGTTGGATGATTGAACCCAAAGATAACCTAGACCTGTTAACAAAAGGAAGCGGTTTGTTTGAGGTGTTGCCTTAAAAACCTTCACAGCAGGCCTCGATTTAACTCATAATTGGATCTAATGTCTTATACAATTTAAACAAAGGTTTAAACTTTTTAATGTGCACATCTGACTGAAGCTCAGTTAGCCCTCACACAGGCTGATTTAAATTGACGTGGGGCCTATTTACATATGTTAGTAGGGCCCTCGTGACATTACACTGAAAATATTATATGAAATTTTGGCTTGAAGTTTTAAATTAATTTGACTAAAAGCAAAAATAATCTAGTTTTTGGGAAATACAGTTGAAACACAGATGTGTCACCTAGAAAGTAGAAGATGAGCAACACTGTGAGCAGAAGAAGGGTGACGATGGCGCAGCCCATGGCGTAAGCCCTTGATGAACTCGGTGTCAACATGTCCTGAAGTCGTCTCTGCCATTTGCTGTTCAGTGAGGGCCCTCTTTGACTGCCTGCCGCCCCATGTGTGAATAAATTTCCATTTGGGGAAGGTGTGTATGCGGGGCGAGGAGGCTTCGTCCCTGGAAAGGAAACAGGGGGAACTAAGTCGCTTGGCTAAATGTCCATGTTTGCTCTCAGGCTGGGCGTACCTTTGTGGCTGTGCTCAGCATGTGTGCGGTGGAGGTCGTTGATGGAGTCGACAGAATGCAGCTCGATCTCTGTGAGGTCTCTCTCACTGACCCTGTAGAACTGAGGAGTGGTCTGGGACGAAGGAGGCCTCGACATATCGCCTGGTTCTGAGGAAAAGCCTGAATGAAGAGATGAGACAGACTGTCTCAAACAGCCAAATGCTCCACAGGGAACATTTATGGTGCTAAAAAATATTTTACCCTCCCCTCAATACGTTAAAGCTGTTGTTCTTAAATTTGTGTGGAAATAATAGTAGCAGAAACTAACATCCCAATTAGATAAAAGATGACCAGAACAGAAAATACAATTATCATGAAATGGCATGGGGCAAGGTATGCACCTATCCTTTAATGTAAGTAGCAGACAGGAAACCAGGTTATAAAGTTGACTTTAAGTAAGAAGTTTAAATTATGGCCTTCTTTTCCTCACTCTCCAGTACATCTTCAACAACGTTTAGTAAAAGATTTAACTGTATAACATGGCTGAAAACATGTTTCATAAAACGAAATGGCTTTAACAAAGAATTCCTGATCAATATTCAAAGGTAAGACAAACGCATTATAAAATATACAAAACAAGAAGGAGAGGTCACTGCAAATACGTAGACTCTGATTGAGCTTGTTTATGCTGCACCTCACTTTAGCTTGATATCCCTAAACAGAAAACGCTTAGATGAATTTAGACCAGGTCTTTCAACAAGCAGTTTTAACAAATGCGTATATTTTGTGTGAAAACATTCATTTACAGCTCTGGCTGTATGTTGGGTGCTGTTTTATTTGAATCGATATCCCCATTCTAAGGTTCTTTTACATTCTCCAGTATTTCCCATTATTGCCACACTTTGATAAAGGCCAGAATTTGAAGGGCTAATAGTTGTCGTATTTACAGATTCTTCCACCTGAGTTATCAGCTTCTAGAGCTACCCCCTTATGTGATGTAAATATTGCTCTTTTCTTGGGTTTGTGGTTGAACCGTGTCTTTTCAGCCTTACAGATTGTTTTATTTGATTGGGGCGACTGTAAAGTGTTTTACAGGAAAAAATATTTCACCCAATCAGCATTCTCAGAAGGAGGAGCTTTCCCTCCCAAAAAAACCCCAAAATAAATAAATATTCTGATTCAACCTCTCTACCGATTTATTCCTAACTAGTCTGACATTTGTCTTCATGATACCACAAAACAGCTGAATTTATTCAAACTAACTGGTGACTTCATGAGGCAGGTAAATTAGATTAAGGGGTGCAAATGCCTGACTCCCTTCATATATTTTAAATAGTACAAAAATATTTAGAACCACACATTGTTTTCTTTCATTTTATAGCTTAACACTTATTTTTGTTTTACACCTGACAAAATTATGCAATACAGATTCTCCTTTAATGTGGAAACAGGTGATATGAATGTTTGTGATATGAAGATACAGAAACATGTCATTTATAATATATATTAACATAATCCTCTAATGACAAAACATCCATGGAGATCTTAAGCACCTATTATTAGAGCTTCTTATCAAACTTATGGAGGCATGATGGTTTAGGAATTTGAAACAAGGCCCAAAGAACAGAACGTGCTCATGACTATTAAGTGACTGGAAAAATAAATTAGTCCACAGTTACTCTGTGAATTAGTCTGATGCAGAAACGTTTCAGTCATCTTACCTTATGTCACTTTAGGAAATCCTGTTTAAATGTATGTGTTTTTGCTGGTTGAAGCCTTCTAGTCTTCTTGTTTACTTCTCACATGCTCACAGCTAACTGCAAAACATGAATCTGAGCCAAGAAAACCAGCAGAAAATTGGATTTCAAGTCAACAGCTGCTCTGCTGGAGTCACATCAGGTGATTAATCCATACGGTTAAATGGGTCCAGTTTAATCCTTTATGTAAAGGAAGAAATAAAAGAAAATAAAACGGCTGTTGCTTCGAGATGTAAATTCAGAAAAGTATTTAAAAAGTTGCAGGTCACTCTAGAGCACTTTCCTCATAAATAGCTAAGATAAAATGAGTTTGTGGCTAAATATTCGGATTTATCCCACAGCAGCTCCCTGTAGAAAGATATGAACGGAGAGAGGAAGTTTCTTTCTCTGCCTTAAAGCCCCCCCAACATGCACATGCTCAGCTTTGCAGTCCCTCACAGCCCAAAATAGAACCAGAGACGTGAGATTATTATTAGTTCCTTTGGCCAAAAGGATGACTCAGTGACCTGAGTGGAAGGCATGATGGCCTACACTGGGATAAACGCAGGAGACTCTGACTGAGGAAAACTGACTGAAGGATTAACAAATGAAACAATAAAACTGCAAAGTTGTATTATGTTTGTTTTTTGCTATGTACAACCATCAAACTAACTGGTTAATAGTCAGATAAAAAAGTTAAAAAGAATGTCTGAAATCTTAAAGATGGAATTTATTTTCTATCACTTTCAAATTTTCCTGAAACAGGAGATTTTTATTTTCACCTAAACAGCAGTTTTTGGTTTTTGAAACCCCTGAAATAATTGTATATTGTACAAACTGCCATCATAAAAAGAGCTGTTTCAACAAAAGCCATGTGTTCTGTTGACATGGGCTTTTATGTTAGGTTATATTTAGGTATAATCATTTTATAAACTCTTTTAATCATACATTTTAGTATAACTTTAGAGATTAAGCTACAGAGACATTTAGAACAAGGTTAGCTTCTAAATAAAATCCCAATCTTTGAACACAAAAGCACAGTTTGATCCATCATCTGATCAGAAAATGGTGTTCCCCACCACTGACCAGCCAGGTAAGCAGAGCTACAGAGTATGATAACTACATAGTCGGATCATTGAAAGCTCACCAACCGAATAAGGATCAATAAGAAAGGCAGTGTTTTCATTTATGTCACACGTTAAACTGAGTCTGCACATTTGGCCAAATGAAGCACAGTAGTGGCAGCATCATGATGTGGGGTCACTTTAAATCTTTAGAATAGAGATTGTATGGCAATAGATTAAAGTGCACAAATGTTCTCCATCATTCTGACAGAGCTGTCTGCAAAAAACAAAAACAAAAAAAACTTGCAGGTTTTTTTTTTAGATTATTGGAATAATCTTTATGCAACATGTTCCACCTACCACATATTTATGCTTCACTTTGTCTCCATCACACAGCAAATGCAATAACAGCACTAAAGTTTGTGGTAGTAATGTGATAAAATATGAAAAATGCTGTGAATGCATCAGAATGCTGAACTGTTTGTCATAAAGATATGATTAAACAATGTCAGAGACAAATGGAATTAATTCATTTGTTTATTTTTCTTATATTTTTTAATCATATCCTCTTTTTTTCTACTACCACGATATTATGTTGTCTATAATATAATGATAATGTAATTTTCTTTTACACTCTGAGGCTTTGGCATAACTAAGCATCCTATCAACGCCTCCCGTTGATTTATTAACTACATTTCCCACAATTCTTTGCTCCTTCCTGCATCGCTTCATGTGTTTTTTAGCCTGGAAAGCAGGAATCCCATGTTGTTGAGTTGAAACAGTTTGGAAACAGCACAGCGGAAGTGGTAACACCTCTGGAGCGGGTTGAAGGGAAACATTTCTGCGGGGATCAGGCTGCAGGATGTGGGCTCGGCTGACGGTTGCTGCCGGGCTGCGGGCTCCCAGAGAGAGTTTGCTGCGGGTCACGGGTGCTGGATGTGCGGGGAAATTCCTGCGGGAGAGACGGGACTTCAGTACAGAGGTAAGAGGACCCTAACCATGCTCTGTCTGGAAGGGTGCAGACTGATCTGCTTAAAGTTTGCATGGAACATCATGCAAACTTTAAGCAGATGCTTTTGTGCTTTAACAACTGATTTCTGATCTTAACATTTTTAAGTTTTTTTTAAGTGCAAGCAAGACTTTCTGGAAATAATTTTTGATTAATCGTTTTAATTTAATGCTGTTTCCTATTAATGAATGCAAAATTTAAAGTTTAAGTTCATTAATTTTCTCACCTTCTAGAAAACTGAAATCTTAATAATTAAAATTCCAAATATAATGTGCAGGGTTAATGGGAAATAACACCTCTGATTCACTTCTAGCAAGGGTATCTGTTGTATTGAGTTCAAATTTAAATGAGCCCTTTCAACCTAATCCACGCAAACAAGCTGACTAAATGTGATAACCATTGTGAAATTGTGCATTCCTTTCAATAAGTGAAAATATCCCACAAAACAATGGTGTTTCCTGGCATTTAAGTATGCTTATAGATGGACATTAAAAGCTTGAATCCCTTCAGGATAAAGTCTGAATAAATATTGATGTATTTGCATGTCAGATTATTAACAGAAACACTTTTTCAAAGAGCAGCCTGTTCAGTCAGACATAATGTTCATGGGTCCCAGCAGACCGAGTCCTCTTCGCTTCACCGAGCTGCACAAAATGATTTTATTAAAACCACGAGTGACTGCTTCTCTAGTGTTATCAGAGTATGCTGATAAGCCCCCCCTTTCACCAGCCAGTTCAAAGGTCACTTAGAGAAACAAAAGATGAGATTGTGACAGAAGGAAGACTATCAGTAGAGCTGTTAATGTAGAGTTGGGATTTTTACACATTATTATCTCCATAATGGTGTTGAAAGCTAAGTTTGGTTCCAAGTCTGATTTAAGTTCCTCGCACAACAGATGGATACATTTGAATTAGTTTCCTTCCTCGATTGAAGAGACATTTAGTTTTTGTCTTCTTGGGATTAGAAATGACTGAAAAAAAAAAAACACAATAGTGCTCGATTGTTAAAGAAAGGAAACCTGTTTCTAAGTGTTTTTATTTTTTGGTTACAGATAAAAATCAGAAAAGCATTCTGTTCCTTACCCATTAAATTTTAGTGTCAGCATATTTCTAGCGGTCTAGTGGTTAGGGCATATAGAGCTTGGAACCCTGAGGTTCTGAGTTTGAGCCCCACTCCCACAGCTGGCACTTTAGGTCTCTGAGCAAGACCATTAACCCCAAACTGCTCCCTGGGCGCCACACGATGGCAGCCGGACTGCTCGCCAAGAGGATTGGTTAAATTCAGAGGTACATTTCTCCAATGTGAGATCAATAAAGTTCAATTATTATTAATCATTGCTATTATTTTGCGAAGACACTTTGTTAAAGAACACTGGTGAGCAGACAACATCATGGAGGTCAGGGAGAAGTTAATGAGAAGGTTAAAGCAAGGTTAAAGTTACTAAACAATATGTGTCATCTGGAAATAAAAAGAAAGCTTTTTAACAGCAAACCTACCCAGAGGGGCATATAGTTACTCTAGAGGAGCTGCAGACATGCACAGCTCAGGTGGGGCAAGATTGATGAAAGCTCTTGCCCTGCATCTTAGTAGCAACGTGATACTGTGGGGAGTTTTTTTTTTTTTTTTAGGTTGAAATTTATAAAAAAAATTCTTAAAGGAATAGTACACCCAAAACATGATTAGCCTTCATTTTCTACTCACCCCCATGCTGAACAACACTCTGGAGTACTTTTTTGATATCTCAAATGCATCTGGAGATCTGGGAGGCTTCTTGCTGTCTGCTGACATTCAAATAATGGAGGTCTATGGTGACCGAGACAGAAAGGTCCATAAAAGTCCACAAAAAACGTGTCAATATTCCTCCATACTGCTCGTCCAATGTATTCCAAGTGTCCTGAGTGGGTAGCATCCAGAATTTACTCGAAACGAAGTCATTTAGAATGTTTTTAGAGCATAAACAGTAGTGTATAGGATTTCCTGAAAGCGCGCACACGCGCGCTCACGACGCTACGGAAGCCGGCAGACCAAACCAGCGCATTCAGCTCGGCAAAGAACTCATGCTCTTCCTCAACACTGAAGTCCTCAGATATTTTTCTTTCGTTGTTTCTTTCTTTGCACAGGTAAACAGCACATTTCTTCTTCTACGCTTGCATTATTGGAAGAGCAGACGCTGAATGCGCACTTTCATCTGGTTTGATCTGCCGGCTTCCGTAGCGTCGTGAGCGCGCGTGTGCGCGCTTTCAGGAAATCCTATACACTACTGTTTATGCTCTAAAAACATTTTAAATGACTTCGTTTCGAGTAAATTCTGGATGCTACCCACTCAGGACACTTGGAATACATTGGACGAGCAGTATGGAGGAATATTGACACGTTTTTTGTGGACTTTTATGGACCTTTCTGTCTCGGTCACCATAGACCTCCATTATTTGAATGTCAGCAGACAGCAAGAAGCCTCCCAGATCTCCAGATGCATTTGAGATATCAAAAAAGTACTCCAGAGTGTTGTTCAGCATGGGGGTGAGTAGAAAATGAAGGCTAATCATGTTTTGGGTGTACTATTCCTTTAAGTGGGTCCTACTTTGTGTTGGTTTTTTGCTACGTTCTTTCTTTCTACAGTCATCCCTGCAGTGGCTCTGTTTCTGCTGCAGACTCACTCTGTTGTTTCCCCTCCCACCCCAGGCTCCCTTGAAGAAAACCCCACTCTTTGACTTCCACAGGCACCATGGTGGAAAGATGGTGGATTTTGCAGGCTGGAGTATGCCCGTCCAGTACAAAGACAGCCACATCGCCTCCCACACGCACACCAGGGAGCACTGCTCCATCTTTGACGTCAGCCACATGCTGCAGGTGAGGAAAAGTGGAGCTGAGATGTTAGAAGCTGATGGCTTTGGAAAAGTTAAATGGAGATTAGCCTTTAAAAACACAAAGGAGACGCATACCTATGAAGCTTGTAAGTTGCGCATGTTTACCTTTGTTTCCCCTCAGACCAAAATCCATGGCAAAGATCGGGTAAAGTTTATGGAGTCTCTGGTGGTGGCAGATATCGCAGAGCTGAAGGACAACCAGGTAGAAGGAAGATTCCCTTTCTGGTTGATCTGTTAATGAAACATCGCAAAGCTTCTTCTGCTGCTAAATACATGAAAACATTTTATTTTGTTACTTTAAAAATCCTGAATAGATTGAAGATCAATCTCTAACTTCCATGATGTGACTTGGTTCATAGATTTCTCTTTGAGTCTTTAGGTCCTCAGCCTCTCATCCTTTCTCTCACCATCTTCGCACCATTCAGGGTACATTGACTCTCTTCACCAATGAGAAAGGAGGAATCATTGATGACCTCATAGTGACAAAGACAGACCAGGG